TCAAAGTCCTCTATTCTATTTCTGAACAGGGATGAAAGACTGAACCCGGTTGTACAGACGCCTTTTATCAATGCAAGGGAGGGATTTGTGTATTGGTGTTAAAATCGCCTTTTATCAATGCAAGGGAGGGATTTGTGTATTGGTGTTAAAATCACCTCAGACATTGAAACAATCTTATCAGCAAACTATGACCCTCTGGTCAGTGAAGTAAACGAGTCACTGAATAATTGGATGACATTGCCCATATCGATGATTGGCCCAATAAATATCATCAAAATGAAATATCACCATGATTTTTGTATCTTTTTCAGACAATTCCTTTGCCTCTTCCAAAACATTTTTTGATAGATTAAATGACATTTTTAGTAGATTTATTTGAAATGATAAAAAGGTTGAGACTGTTGTACCTGCCATATGAGAGAGGGGGGTTACAACTCCCTAATCTTAAACTGTATTATTGGTCTGCCCAGTTACACTCAGCCATGTTCTACTTTTCAACTGAAACACACCCAGCTTGGATGGAAATTGAACAATTAACAACAAACCTTAGATTAAATCTGTATTTGTACTCCGCAAAGCCAAAGCAATTGATAAAAATGACAAAGAATCCCTTTCTAAAAAACACAATTGATGTCTGGTATAGGACCCATCAATATATTGGAAATGTATATTGATCCATTTCCTCTTTCTCACCCATCTGGGGAACAGAGATTACAGCAGGAACAGCTGATGGAGGTTTCAAAAGCTGGGCAAATAAAGAAACTGCCAGATCTTTATAAGGATGACAGGCTTCTTACATTTCAGCAATTATGCCAAATATATAACATTTCAAAGAAGTACTTTTATAAGTATTTACAAATTAAACATTTTATTATATCTAAACATAAAAAGATGAATCCAAACCACCGCTGTCATAGTGTGAGGGATTTACCCCTCCCTAAAAGGTGATGTGTTTGTGCTTCTATATTCTGGTTTATTTATTAAGTGTATTTTGTTTGGAGGAAGCAACTTGCTTTGTTTGGTGTTTTAATCATTTTTCTTCTCTTTGAGGTCACCTGGTCAGGTGTTGCCATGGAGGCGCGCCCATGAGCAGTGCTGACCAGGACCTGATGTTTCAATCAACCTCAGAATCTGTTTTTGAGAGAGAGGGAGATATGCCTGGATTTAATTTGGGGCCCAGATTGTTTTAGTTTTGAAGTTGTTAGTTGAAATGTAAATTTCTTTCTAGGAATATAGTGAAGTACAAATGTTATTTTCACTTATAAATGTTGACTCCACCCCTTAATTAGTCAAGGAAGAGCCAATGCTTTAAAAGGCAGGTGTGTTAGATCAGAGGAGACTCTCCCTCTTGTGTGTGAACCTGTCATGCTGTAACTGGATGGAAATGTTTTTGAACAAAGAGATAAACCGAATGAGAGCTCTATAACTTCTGGACTTTGTTTGATTTTTTTGATTGCTACCCTACACATACCTAGAGAATATTGTGCTAGAAAATCTAGAGAAGAGAAGTCATATTTCTTTATTTTATTTAGCTTTACTAAGGCATGATAAGGAATCCACTGCAGATAAACTGGATGCATGGAGAGTTGACATTCGAGAAGAGATACCAGTACCCGGACTGGAAACACTGCATGAGTAAAGGCCCAAAAACAGTCAATCAATACAAGAATGAAACTCCTTCAATTCAAGTGGTTGATGAGAATTTACATAACTCCAGTTAAACTGAACATCCCAGATATCTGCTGTAAATGTTTGGTTGGAAAGGTTCTCTCTTTCACTGCGTATGGGAGTGTCCAACATTACAGCAATATTGGAACTTGATTATGCAAATTTGTCAGAGATCATTGGAGTGAATTACCTGCTGAGGCCAAAATGTGTGTTTTGGGTATTTATCCGGAGAATTGTGTTTTTAATTCCAGACAGTTAAAATTGATTGACTTTGGACTCCATCAGGACACTAGATTAATATCTCTATACTGGAAAAAATGGACATGCCTTCAATTCACATGTGGGTGAAGGAGATGACATCGTGTGGCTCTGGAGCGACTCACTTACATTATCAGAGGAAAAGGAGAGAGATCTGAAGAAACATGGTCACCATTGACCGAGTTTCTGAAACACTACAAAGGACATCAAGAGAACTGTGCAGAGATTGCTGAGTTGTTTTTTTTAATCATTGTTTATTTGTGTTTGTTTGCTTCTGGGACTAAATTACTGAATGAGAATCTGAATTGAGTGTATCACTGTCACTTGTTTTTTGTTGTCTTATTCTTGTATGTTATTAAAAATGCAACAAATATGCGGTTCACATATGTTTTCGCTGTCCTATTAAAAGGTATAAAGCAGTTTTTGAGGGGAGGAAAAAGAAGCAAATAAAACGTTTTTCTATTCATTTATGCTGATATTATTTAGAAAACAGCTTTATAGCGTGATCACTGCTGCCCCCTGCTGGCAATTATTCTTTCTTTTTAAAAATAAGGAAAAAAAAAAAAAAACAATCCGAGTTTAAAACGATGCAAGAAAAGCTTAATGGTGTTTTCAATAAACGGGTTTTCATAGAAACCTCCCTGCATATTTCCTCATGTTTACATGAACTTTATTCCATAAATAAAGTAAAACAGTCCAGCTGCTTCACTGGAATGAACTGGACCGATAATCAGAACCCGGATCCACTACAACCCAGGATCCAGTCCGAACCAGAGAAGTTACTTTTAGGAGCATTTTTACTGCCAGAAGAACAAACTTGTTCTAACAAAAAAGTCACCAGACCTGCAGTTTGCTTTAGTTGTATATTCTAAAAAAATGGTTCAGAAAACTTTTTGTAATCATTTATATTATTTTTATACAAATTGTTAAAATACCAAAAATTTCACATAACTTCATATTTTGGTCCATCTGATGATTTAAATCTTGATGTTTGATCAAGATTTGGGAATGTGATTCTCACTTGAGCAGTTTTTGTGTTCTGCACTCAGCAGTGGCCGGAACCCGGGTCCGTTCCAACCCAGAACCCCGTCAGAACTTTCATCCAGAACCGAATCATTGGGGAAGAACCGGAGGCTAGATTTAAAAGTTTATAGACGACACAGAAACATACAGAGGATCTGTGGCCAGCGTTAAAACTTTATATTTATTTGCTTAACAAAACCCTGGAGGCTCTAAAAAAAACAGTTTTAAAATCCCTTACAGAACCTTAAAACCGAGTCATTTTAATCTGATCACATCTTTACATAAATTTCTTGTTTGACTTGCAGCTAACATTAGGCTGGTTAAAATGGGAAGACTGGGAGGACTGGACTGAGACCAAGCTGCATGATTCCTGGGAACAGTTTCGAAGTTCCAACTGCAGAAATGATAAAGCATCGTTCGCCGCTATCACAAAATATATATTCTCTATGTACAAGGAGGACCCAGAACCCGGTTCTTCTGGTTCCCAGGAGACGCTCTGAGATTCTTCAGTACAAAAGGTCCACACACACACACACACACACACACACACACACACACACACACACACACACACACACACACACACACACATCTTTGTACACAACAATGCAAAAAAATATAGTTTTGACTTTTTTCCTTGGAAAAGCTCAAAGTTTCCAGCTGTTTTCTGTACATGGCGCTGATGGAGGCGCTGATGGAGGCGCTGATGGAGGCTGCAGGCAGGCCAGACGGGGTCAGAGGTTAAGGATGGGGACATCGAAGAGATCACAAAGGCCCTCGGTCTCGTCCAGGTTGTAGATGTAGTCGTGGTCGCTGGGTGGAGGCGACAGACGGAGGAGAGGCGAGAACACTGAGGGGGAACAGGAGAACGGTTAAAGGAGCCAGAGGTCAGAACCATCTAAAATCAGAATACAGCGTCTCACAGCAAAGCGAAAATGTTTTTACATCCAGAATCCTGAAATGCTCTTGAGAAGGAAATGACAGAAAACGAAGACCAACAGCCAATCGGAGTTCTGCTGCACGGGCCCGGAGGGATCCGCACGTCCGGGTTCTGGTTCCACTGCTGCATGTTTCTGGCAGCTACAGGTTCTGCAGGACTGGAGCGGGTTAGCGTCCGGAACACGCAGCCGGACTCGACCCAAATTACCCCACCAGTATTCCCAGTATTCCCAGTGCCGCTCCTGACCTTCTCCCAGCTGGATGTTTCTAATTGGATCTTATCAGAGGTCAAAGTTCATCTTGATGCATAATGGTATACATTTTCAGTTTGGATCAAATTTGTCTCCTGACGTTTGAAATTCTTCCAGTTTTTATTTTATTTTGAAAAACGTTTCCTGTTGGGTTCACACAGCTGTTACAATGGCAACCTGCTACCAAACGTCTGTTTTAATCATCATTTTCCCGTTGATGACGGAAAACGCGACCCGATTTCCAGTTTCCGTTTTACGACTGAAAGAAACAACAAAGAGCTGGATGGAGGTTCGGTACCTTCAGACGACATCAGGTCCTCCAGCAGGTCTCCGGGCATCATCTCTGCAGGCAGAAACCAGCAAAGCTTGTTCAACTCAAACATTTAGAGATGCTATCAATATCAGTTTATCGGGCAGCAGAGCTCAACTCGCCTTTAGTCGGGTCAAACATTTCAGAAAGCTCTTTGGGAAAATCCAAAACTGGAGAAACATCAGAGCTCACGTCAGCCGCACATTTCAGCACATGATCAGCACATTATGAAGAATTATCCCAGAGACTCACGCTCAGACGGGTCCGACTTGACGGGCTGGAACCCGGCTAAGGAGGCAGAACCGTCCAGGGAGGCGGAGGACTGCAGCTGCTGCGGAACTGCTGCAGCAGCTGACTGTGCTGCAGCACCAAGCTGTGCACTCGCATCTGAGGCCAAACACACAGAGGGAGAAATATGAAAAACAGGTGAAATCTGAAACGTGCTTCTCAGTGGTGTTAGTTGAACTTTAAACCAGCGGTGTCCAAAGAGCGGTCCGCGGGCCATTTCTGGCCCCAACTTCAATTCAAGGAGGAGACAAATGAGGCACGGCTGCATGAAGTGACGGCCCAAGTTTTATGAAAAGCAAATAGACACAAAATATTTGTCTTTTAATAGCCAGCCCGCATGCATTGTTAATATCATAATAACTGACTACAAAGCAGTTTTAATCACATAAACCTTCATTTCATTATTTCATTAAACCTGATGACCCAAATCCTGTTTCTGACGACGGACTTTCTCTACATGAGGCAAACATGCAAACACTCCAGTTCAAGTTTTAGTTACCCGGCGTTGCTGCGGCGCCCGGTGTTGCTGCGGCGCCCGGCGTTGCTGCGGCGCCCGGCGTTGCTGCGGCGCCTGGCGTTCTTGTGGCTGGTTTTATGGCTGGATGCGGCTGGCAGAGCTGCGGCTTGCAGAGCTGCAGGCGAGAGGAAATGTCATGTCGTGCTGCTGCAGATGGATAAGATCTAACAGAAACGTTTCCATCATTTTGTCTGAACAGAAGCAGCTCGGAATCCAACATGGCGCCACGTTTCCCCAGCAGACCTTCCACCAGACATTTATTTTACTGAACAGGAAGCTAACAGCTCACAGCAGCGGCTCTTAGTGGAGCATCAACTGCAAGTAAAACGCGACGTTCGGCCTGCAGCCTGAGAACGATCCGATTCCCCTGGGAGGCCGACCCGGATCGGTCCACGAGGGACTATATAGGCTTTTCTACTTTATTTCCTGTCCAATATGAGGTGAGGACCTTTGGAGCATGGGGGTCTTCTGGGTCGCCGTCTGCGCTGGCAGGCTGTGCAGGATGTCATCAGGAGGCGGGACGGGCAGAACCACCGGAGCGGCACTGGACGGGTCCTTATTGACCAGGAGAACCTCGATGGGTCCAGAGGTACTCTTCAGACGGATCTGGTACTTCCTCTGTCCATTAAGGACCTGCGCACGCGCACGCACACACACACACACACACACACACACACACACACACACACACACACACACACACACACACACACACACACAGTTACCCTGGCTCATGGAGCAACTTAGACTCTGACCCATCATAACCATAGCTACTTACGAGTTCTGGCACAGGAACCTCCAGCTGCGTCCCAATGGGGGCCCGGATGGCCAGCAGAGTGTCCCCTGCAGGGTCAAAGGTCATGAGAAACAGCCAGGTTCAGCCACAATGAACCTAAATGTTCTTTAACAGTTTTACCTTTAAACGCTCCACAGAGGTCTTCGTGCTTTACGTAGGCCATCGTTTGAAAGCGTTAAGGTTGGTCCAATAATACAGATAATAAGCCTTTCAGCTTTTAATCTGAAAGGCTTCCTGGTCAGGATGTTCATATTTATTATTATTCATTCTAATCTGAGAAAGCAGAGTGGAATGAAGTCGTCATCAGGACATCTGGACGCTGATGAACACAACCCTCTGCAGCAGAATCCAACTGCAGCACCACCGATCAACACAGAGGGCAGCACTGAGACACTGCAGCACCACCGATCAACACAGAGGGCAGCACTGAGACAGTTTTAGGGTACAGAACTAAAATGCAAAAACTCCGTCATAAAGAAAGATAAAACTAAATATCGATTTCAGACAGTTTATCAGCAAAACCACCTAATTGGAGGTTTAGTTAAACTTAGTAGAAGCTCGGATGAAGAAAATAATCAGACTGACAACAAGGCAGCGAATGCTTATGTAAACGTGATCATTGGTTTTCTACTTTGAATAAATTTGCAAGAATCTCAAGCTTTTCCCCACATTTTCATAACGAGGTATTTAATGTATAGAATTTGATTTAATTCAGTCTGGAAATGAAAGGCTGTGAAAACTTTCTGAATGGACTGAAGGGCCATCCTGAGGTTGCTGGTTAAATCTCCCAGCAGTTTTATTTTCTGGCTGGATGAAATGTCACAGCTTGACATGTTTAATAAAAAAACACATCAGAAAATCCCCAACTATAGAAATGTTTCCATGGAGACGGAGCGACACTCACGGCCAAAACCATTTGGGAAGTTTAACCGTGTTCTGACCCGGCAGCTCAGGAACAGAGCCTGAACCTGAGGCCGGTTCTGGTCGGGTCCAGAAGGATATGGGCTGTTGCTGGAGTCGTCGGTGACGTTCTTGATGCTCTGCTGGACCAGACCTTCTGCTGGTCCAGCTCGTTTCCGCAGCGCCAGATCGTCCAGCTCGGCCTTCAGCTCCATCAGTTTGTCTGCGATCTCCCTGGTGTTGCAGCCTGGTCCCACGCCCCTTGAACGCACCATCAGAGCGTGGCCATGCAGAGAGACGTCAGCGTCAAATTTTACCATCTAATCTGTTAATGTTATTATTAATAACGCTTTGTATTTCTGCTTTAACGTCATTGTCTCATTTGTCAGCATTAGTTCTGATCCAAGTTTTTATTGTTTACTACAGAATGAGAAGAATAAATGATAATAATTCACGGAAAATTTAATTAATTTTAATCTTGGTTCAACTGTTCCCTTGAAAAGCCATAAAAACTAACTATGTTCCCTGCTGGCAGCTATGGACTGCTTGTTAACTGAAACATTTATCTTTTAAATGACGTGTAATATATTATTTTCCAGTTCTGCCTGCATTCAGAGAGAAATGAAGGGAACTTACTTCCACTGGATGCTGTTTTGGACTTCTTTTCAATCAGACCGATTCCCTCCAGGACATTAGTGATGTCATAGATGCGTCGTTTCTGCCGTACGGCCAGAGTGTCTGCAGCCTGCGGAGGAAACGGGATGCAAAGGAAGCATCATGCTGGGGCTCCCACTTCCTTCCTTCACTGATAGAGACGACGAGCCTGTGCAGCTACAGAGTTTCACATAATTCTATTCTGAATTGACCAGAACCAGCAGACCGAGCCAATAGCTTCCTGAACCGGGACCCTGAGATCAAACCAGGTTTATTGCAAACGTTACGATTAGAGTCATGTTTCTCCTCCTCCATCTTTCAGAAGCCAGAAGTGAAAGTTCTTCTCTGCTAATTCAGTTTCATCATAAAGGATTCAGCTGAGGAGAAATTTCTGCTGAAAGTGAGAGAACACTGCTGTGAACTGCCAGTCAGCTGGCTACATCTCTCTGTCACTTATATTCATAGGACAGTCAGGATAGACAGAAGACCAGGCCTTCTGCTCAGCATGAAGTTGCAGAAAGTCTCATTTCATAAAATAAAAATAAACAACGTTTAGTAGTGATTAATCTACAAGTTTGTCTAGATCTGTGTGAAAATCAAACAAACAATAAATAAATATAAGTATCATTAGTAACACAAATAATACTACTAATAATAAGCTGCTGAGCAGTAAGGACACATTTACAGTATAAGAAAATAAGTATGCAATTATTGAAAAATAGCAACTGATTTAACAAAATAATTTGGAAAGTAAAAGTTTGCAAGATATAGATGAATATATAAACAACTGATTATTTACAAATAAAAACAGCAGCAGACTTACAGAGTCTGATGGAAAAAGTGTTGTCATAAATTTTAATCTATATTTAAAGTTAATTCAAAATGCTTTAGTCAAAGTTATTCAAGGGTCACAGTTTGCAGAACAGCATAACTGTAATAATCAGAGTTTTTTGTATGAAAATGAGAATTTATTTTTTAAGTGAAATTTAATCATGTATAAAACAAACAACTGAAACTGTATTTTTTCTGGAAGTCATAGCTTCACATCAGCCTGGACAGGAACAGGAAGAAGATCTCTGACCAAAATGTTACTTAAAGGTCAAAGGGCAGCATTTTGTTCTTAACCCCGCAGCCTGACAGCAGCAGCTGCCTGCTTTATCCCGGAGTCTGACCACCAACCAGAGCTTTCAGGGCTTTAACTCTCTTAGTTGCTATACTTCTGAGTAATTAGTGAAGAATAACGACTGAAGACGTCCAGAGACAAAGCCTTCATCCCTGAGGAAGAGGAAGATTGCTGCTGCAGCTTTGGCTGAGGAGACAAAAGCTGACCCACTTTCCACACTTTGAATCTGCAGGGGGCAGAGCCTGACAAGTTACCCGGTGTTTTCAAACTTCACTCCGGGCTAACACCCGGATTCCGGCCTGGAAAGCCCCGACAGCCCCGCGGAACCGCGCCGGTTTTGCTCAAACGAGAAACAAAACACCGCAGCTAAAGCTGAAAGCTATGCGCTAAAGTGTATAATTCACTGAAAGCAGCCTGCAGCTAGCTGCAGCTAATGCTAAGCTTAACTGACAAAGACCCACCGCCTTCAGGTCCAGGACCCCGTCCTTCGCCTCCTGCAGCAGGGTCACAAACTTGGTGGTGAGCAGGCCCAGGCTCTTCTCGTGCCGGCTCGGCGTCTGCGGCTGCAGCGAGTCCCCGGGTCCCCGGGTCGCCTCGGCTACAGGCCGACTCCAGCTCCATCATCGCTGGCTACTAGCTCCGCCGTTCTCCCCTGAAAAAAATCACCCAGCGAGCCCAGGAGCGGCACGCCGGACGACAAGCAGAGCCCGGACGGTGTAGCGGTGTTTGTTGGGTCGGTATGGCCCGGATCTCCGCGGATTACTCCGTAAAGCCGAGCCGAACGAGCCGCGGACCGTAATTCAATGAGCAGTCGGTAGAGAGCCGTTGGCCACGCGAGGAATGACGGGACGCTTCTCCCCGCTGGGGGCCGACTGCCAATACTCCCACCCAGCTAAAAGCGTGAAGCTGAACAACGGGAATTTTCGGAATAAATACAAATGCTTCTCTAAAAAATATGGTTTTATGACATAAAATACCCATGAAATTGAACAGATTTGAAGATAATTTTTATGAGTAGAAAAAGTGCATTCTTCGTCATTATAGAGTTGTCGAGTTCACCGCGAACCCTTAATCACAAAAACTTGAAGAAACTCCAGTTGGACACACAACGTCTTAAAAAGCACGCATGCGCAAATCTGCAAAATTATGTCAGACTGGCAGGGCTATTTATAAAATATGAAACTAACATTTTTATGGTAACAAAAACATTTTCTTCCTTCCAGACACTAAATGTACGTATTTTATACGACAGCAGCACAAAGTACTGCATACTTGTGAAGCGCAGGGAAATTAATCATTTAATCACTTTTTATTTTCTTTTTCCCCAAATTCAATTCAGTTTAAATTTTCCGCCTGATTTATCGCTGCAGATTTATTGGCAGGCCGATCGGTGATCAGCCGAGCTCATCCAAATACTTTATTTATCCATTTGCAATTATTCCGATTTTCCATGACAGTTGAAGGTAGTTACTTGATTGGGTTATAAATTATGCAATGTGCCTGGAAAATAGAGAATACTGTCCCGTGAAGGAAATTGAGAGTTTTTCTTACTTTATCTGAAATGTACTGTCTTTTAATTTAAAATTACCCTTAGAAGTACATTTATGTTTCTAAATAAGCACTTAAGTACAAATAAAGAGTAAATATTAGTCGCAGATCTTCAAAACCAGGGGCATATCATGTCAAAACCTGCCCGAATTAAGGAATTAATAGCAAAGAAAAGCTGATGCATTCAGAAAAGTTTGAATACTGTGGAGTTGACGAGATAATAAAACATGTAATACTGTCCAAATTACTAGGAAGAAAGACAACAGCTGATCCAATAGTCAAATAAAATTAAAGTAAAAGTAGATTTGGTTGATTTGTTAAATCTAACTCAAAAAGCAATAGTTGTCAGATAATATTTTCTCTCAAATTAACAGTTTGATAACATAATCCTTCAGTGAAGTCCGGGTTCACACTCCGCACCAGTAGGTGGCGCTGTTGCACCAAAGCCCTGGAAACCGCATGAACAAGGAAGTGGAAGAAGCAGAAGACGCAGAGTGGCGAACCGGTCAGCTGACCTGCTCCATCAGCAGAATTAACGCTTCTGTTCATTTATTGTCAGGTGAACTTCAGGAATTTGTGATTTAGTGTCTTCTCGAGGCGCCGCCATGTCGCTCCAGCCGTTTCCAGCTCCGGACACCATGAGCAGAAGCAACGCGAGCGGAAGCAAAGCGAGCGGAACCGCTGGCAGGGAGTTCGTGTTCGAGTTCAAGGCCGGGAAGAACACCTGCGTGCTCAGAGTTCCGCTGCAGCTTCCGGTCCAGCTGAACATCCGGGACCTGCACGGGAGGCTCATGCTGCTGCACAACATCCCCTGCTACATAGAAGATGGTGAGGCTGCAGCTCTGAGCTAATGAACACGGTTAATATCGCAGCTCCAGCGGCCTGTCTGCAGGCTGCATCCGGTCCGCCGAGTTTCTGGCCTTCACCTGCACTTGGCCAGACACTACATGGAAAATATACATGTCTGGACCCACACAATCAATTAGGATGTTTACAGTATTATTGAGTCAGTGTATGAAACACATTATGAGAGCTGCAGACATCAGCCTCTGTTGACAGGGTGTCAAACTCCAGATGGATTTTGCTGGCCTGCAGCGTTTAGATGAGCCTCTGCTGCAGCACCTGATCACAATGATGGGGTCATAAAGGCTCTGGAGGACTGATCCTAATCCTGGAGGTCATGAAGCCGTTTCATTCCAGCTTTTTACCTGTGGCTCATCCAAAACCTGCAGGACTGGAGTTTGACACCTGTGCTATGGGAGGTTTGACCGTTAGCCCCGCCACCAGGTTGGCCCCGCCTCCAGGTCACCTGGTCACCAGATTGTCTCCATCTCAGCCATTTTCTGGGTTTATTCAGCAGCATTTTAGACAAAATAATTCAGTGTCGACCAAAATCAGAATCGGCAGGTCGGACATTTTAAAAATTGGAGACCAACTAGAAAACTACAGTCGGTTAGAAAGTCTCTATTTCTGCTGATTGTGATAATTTTTCCAGTTTCAGGTAATGAAAACATGATCTTTAACCTGAAATGCTTCATCTGTGCAGAGCTGAAAGCCGCCCTCTCCGCCTTCATGGAGGAGCAGAGCGGCCTGGACTTTGACCGTGAGGCGGAGCTGGCCCTGCAGCGCCTCGCCTGCAGCGCCGTGGACATCAACCAGCTGACCAGCGCGTGGGCCGCATCCTACGCTCAGGTACAAACGCCTGCAGCCGCTGCTGCTGCGTGAACGGCTCTGGGGCCTCATGTTTAAAATGCCACGCAGTTCACACTATAGAACCCAATTTGCAGGAAACGCAGCAGCTGCTGCTCCACCTGTCACCTCCATAAATACATCTGAATGTAAATTAGTATAAATATGCAGAAGTCTGCAGTCATCCTAACCCTCTGCACACAAACGTCACAATGAACCAACAATGAGACTTCTCTGAGTTCCTCTTGTCTTCAGGTTCCCATTCCAACATTCACACTGAACCTGCAGGGTTCTGACCCGGTTTCGGGCCACATTTAAAAATCACTCTGAACAGTTGATAAAATAAATATCAATCACTCGTCTACATGGAAAATGCCAGATTTTTTCAAAGATTAATAATGATTATTATTATTCTGATCCAGGAGAACTAACTTTATGTTCATGAAAAGAAAAACAGCTGATTGGAGTATTACCTCAAAAAAGTTATTTAAATGTCTTTGAAACCTAACCTGTTAAAAAAGAGTTACTGTTTTGTGATTGATGTGGTTGTGATTCCCCAACCCTCCAGCAGGGGTCACTGTTTGTGTTCCTCAGACCAGCCTGGAGCACGCTCGGCCCGAGGAGCCCAGCTGGGACGAAGACTTTGCTGACGTTTACCACGAACTGATCCACTCGCCTGCCTCCGAAACGCTGCTGAACCTGGAGCACAGCTACTTCGTCAGCGTGTCGGAGCTGATCAGCGAGCGAGACGTGGAGCTCAGCAAGCTGCAGAGGGTAGTGCCGTCCCCTTCCCCCCCCATCGCCGCTGTCCCCTTCCCCCCCATCGCCGCCGTCCCCTCCCCCCCCATCGCCGCCGTCCCCTCCCCCCCCATCGCCGCCGCCCTGCTGGGCGTCGACCAGAACAATTGCTAATGGTTATTGCTCTGACCATTAGTCACATTAAAAGATCAGATCCTGCTGATATTTTATTCAATCATTTTAACCGTTTTCATGCACTATTAGAAATGTATTAAAAGATGCAAATAACCAAATAATAATTTTTTTTAAATTAAAAAAAATAACCATTTTCAAAGACAATAGCAGCATTCCTTCAGTTAATGTTGGATCATTTGCAGCAAAGCAAACATCAACAGGTTCCTCTTCTTCTTTGGACTCGTGTTGAATCAGCTTCAGCTGGTTCCCTTCTGTAGAAATCAATCAGCATCCGATTATTAATCATTCGATATATAATGAGCATCAGATTTAGTGTAAATTAACTCAACTGTTTCTTCTTAGTTTCATTATTTACATGTTATTTTTGTTTTCCGTTGTAAATCCCCATTTTCCTGATCAAGATAAAATCCTGAAGGTTTTCCATCCAACTGGCAGCAACTGGTTTCCTCCTGAGGCAAAGCTGCCAGTCTGACTGCTGCGTCTGTACCCCGTCTGTCCCTCCCTCCTTCTGTCTGTCCCTCCCTCTGTCCTCCGTCTCCAGGCAAGCAGCAGAGATGGACAAAGTGATGCATGAGCTGGGAAACACGCTGAGCGACCACGATGTCAACGCCGTGGCTTCGCAACACTTTGATGCTCAGCAGGTAAACGACAGCAGAGACACGTCCACACTGAGGACACGTCGTCCTGCGGAGACGTCCACTCTGAAGACACGTCGTCCTACCCCCTCTCTCTGCAGGTGCTGGAGAACAGGTGGGGCGAGCGAGCTGAAGCAGGTGATGACCATCCAGAAGCAGGAGTACCAGGACTGGGTCATTAAGCTGCACCAGGATCTGCAGAAATCCAACAACAGCAGCAAAATCAAGTGAGTCTGTCAACAGCAGCTTGGGGCTGCTCTCTGGTGAAATAAGCCGAGGCTTGCAGTGGGACAGGACGCCATGTGAGAAAGCGTTTCTCCTCCATCTTGGATGGCGAGCGACGGTGAAGATGGATTTGCTGTGATTCGTGTTTTGCAGCGAGGAGATCAAGGTGCAGCCGGGCCGGCTGGCGGAGGCTGCGGACGGCGACTGCAGGCCGTTCGAGGAGCATCCGCTGCTGGAGGAGAGCTTCACCATCCACCTAGGTGCCTCTGCTCCTCCTGCAGCCTGATGGCGCCCTCTGCAGGTGGAAACCATGGCGGCACCTCAAGCTGTTCTCTGTTCATGCAGGAGCGCAGCTCAAGACGATGCACAACCTGCGGCTGGTCCGTGCCGACGTGTTGGACTTCTGCAAGCACCGGCGCTACAGCAGCAGCGGCGCCAAGCTGCGGCGCTTGCAGACGGCGCTGTCGCTCTACTCGTCCTCGCTCTGCGGCCTGGTGCTGCTGGTGGACAACCGGGTCAACTCCTACAGCGGCATCAAGAGAGGTCGGCCATCTTACCTGGTTACTGTGAAACACTGGGCAAAAGTCCCAAATCAGACTCTGCTCATCATTTCACCTCCTGGCCTGATTTCTCCCACAAGCTTAAGCTGACTTGGACCATTTACAGGAACCTGTTGGACCATTTACAGGAAGGTTTTTATTTGTCAGTGAAGCTAGAAATTATTCAGCAATTTAAAACGTGAAGGGATTGATTTGAAGTGAAATATTTAGAGACTTTGTTACATGATTGGTTGTTATTTTTTTAACTGAATCATTTCAATTATGACCTGGTCATCATCTCTGCTGATCTCCAAATGGAAAGAAGCTAAATGTAGTTTAATAGATTTCTTCTTTTTGTAAAGATTAATACTGTTCCTGCAAAACAATGCACAACGGGGGGCTCCCGTCCCGTCCGGTTTCAGAATGCGGCAGCAGGTGTGCTGCAGCTGCGGCGGCAGGTGTGCTGCATCCAGAAGCTGCAGGGTGGTGGAGACTGACTGTCAGCAGCTGCTGATTAAACTTTTAGTTTGTCTGCCTTGTTTTGATAATAAACTGAAGTTGATGAATGACAGCAGCTCATCAGCTGCTGAAGCAGCTCAGGAAACTGTGCTCTTCTTGCTGCTGCAGCTCCGGTCCGCAGCATGTGATGCGGCAGCGGCTCACAGTCGGGTTCAGGCTTTTTTCTCTGCTGATCTCCAGACTTTGCCACGGTGGCGAAGGAATGCACCGACTTCCACTTCCTGAGCCTGGAGCAGCAGCTGGAGGAGGTGCAGCAGGCGGTGCTGTATGCGCGGGTGCAGCGCTGCAGCAAGCAGAAGCAGCCGGCAGGTGAGTCCCTCTGATCACCAGCTCTGCTTAGTTTAAACTGTGTTCTAACTGAGCCGCTGAATTTGTCCATTTTTATTTAAAGAATTAGATTTTTGAAGTATTTCTTGTTAAAATGTTTGCTCATATGAAGTTCAGTTTCTGCCATCATTTCATCTGATTTACTGCCGTACCAGAAACACAGGAGTGCTGAGGTTCCACGTCTGGACTTTTTCATGTAAAAAACAAGTGTGATTCGTCCTGTTAAAATTTTCAACGCGTTGAAATTTCTGTCATTAATCTAAATGAAGGACTTGAAGTCCAGGCTCTAGTCTCTTTGTGTATCCAGCTGACTGGGTTTAAGGATTTTGTAAATAATAAACTAAAAGTCCCTATTGTTTTTGTAAGTGGTGTAACTGTGCGTACCTGACGTCTTTAGCGTCTTCTCTGCCAGGTGGTTTCTCCTCAGAATCGGCGGCGCTCAGTTTGACGTTTATTTCTCCTCCACCTCAGCGGTGAAAGGAACGAGGAAGAACGGAAACAGAAATATTTTTCTCCTCTGGATCCGTCCAGAGACGCTCATCACTCCAAGTTCTGCATGCGTCAGTTTTGTTTCTGTTTTTCTACAGAAAATCAGAAGAGTGGAGGAGATGATAAGAGCAAAACAGCTGAAAGAAATCCCTCAAATATTCTCCCAGGTATTGATGTTGAACACGTGGAGATGCTCTCAGTTTGAGTCGGTTCTTCTGAATCGCTCCGTGTTTTCCTTCAGGCGAGTTCTACATCTCCAGACACTCCAACCTGTCGGAGGTCCACGTCGTCTTCCACCTCTGTGTGGACGACAACCTGCGGTCGGGAAGCATCACGGCGCGCGACCCGGCCATCATGGGCCTGAGGAACATCCTGAAGGTCTGCTGCACGCACGACGTCACCACCGTCACCGTGCCGCTGCTGCTGGTCCACGACATGTCCGAGGTACCGACCGGCCCAGCCCGGCCCGGTCCGGGTCCGCACACACAGGAAGCAGCGACCTGACCTGGTCTCTGATTGGCTGGTCAGCTCTGCTCCCGTTCTGACCAGCATCATGGTCTGAACGTGAGCAGCAGCAGTGCATCAGAGCCATCCATCATTGTGCATTTCTCATTTTTCTCCACATATTTATTGGTTTCACACATGGAACTTTAACTAGGCCATACTCATGGTATTGCTAATCAGGGTTTCCCCCAGAAAACGGGCTAAGCCTGATGACAGCAACGCTAGTCCATTAGAATCTAAAGTCTGCAGCTTCTAGAATCTCAAGTCTGCAGCTTCTAGAATCACAAGTCTGCAGCTTCTAGAATCTAAAGTTTGCAGCTTCTATAATCTCAAGTCTGCAGCTTCTAGAATCACAAGTCTGCAGCTTCTAGAATCTCAAGTCTGCAGCTTCTAGAATCACAAGTCTGCAGCTTCTAGAATCTAAAGTCTGCAGCTTCTAGAATCACAAGTCTGCAGCTTCTAGAATCTAAAGTCTGCAGCTTCTAGACTCTAAAGTCTGCAGCTTCTAGACTCTAAAGTCTGCAGCTTCTAGACTCTAAAGTCTGCAGCTTCTAGAATCTCAAGTCTGCAGCTTCTAGAATCTCAAGTCGGCAGCTTCTAGAATCTAAAGTCTGCAGCTTCTAGAATCTAAAGTCTGCAGCTTCTAGAATCTAAAGTTTGCAGCTTCTAGACTCTAAAGTCTGCAGCTTCTAGACTCTAAAGTCTGCAGCTTCTAGACTCTAAAGTCTGCAGCTTCTAGAATCTAAAGTCTGCAGCTTCTAGAATCTAAAGTTGCAGATTCTAGACTCTAAAGTCTGCAGCTTCTAGACTCTAAAGTCTGCAGCTTCTAGACTCTAAAGTCTGCAGCTTCTAGACTCTAAAGTCTGCAGCTTCTAGAATCTAAAGTTTGCAGCTTCTAGACTCTAAAGTCTGCAGCTTCTAGAATCTCAAGTCTGCAGCTTCTAGACTCTAACGTCTGCAGCTTCTAGAATCTAAAGTTTGCAGCTTCTAGAATCTAAAGTCTGCAGCTTCTAGAATCTAAAGTCTGCAGCTTCTAGAATCTCAAGTCTGCAGCTTCTAGACTCTAACGTCTGCAGCTTCTAGAATCTAAAGTTTGCAGCTTCTAGAATCTAAAGTCTGCAGCTTCTAGACTCTAACGTCTGCAGCTTCTAGAATCTAAAGTTTGCAGATTCTAGACTCTAACGTCTGCAGCTTCTAGACTCTAAAGTCTGCAGCTTCTAGAATCTAAAGTCTGCAGCTTCTAGAATCTAAAGTTTGCAGCTTCTAGACTCTAAAGTCTGCAGCTTCTAGAATCTCAAGTCTGCAGCTTCTAGACTCTAACGTCTGCAGCTTCTAGAATCTAAAGTTTGCAGCTTCTAGAATCTAAAGTCTGCAGCTTCTAGAATCTAAAGTCTGCAGCTTCTAGAATCTCAAGTCTGCAGCTTCTAGACTCTAACGTCTGCAGCTTCTAGAATCTAAAGTTTGCAGCTTCTAGAATCTAAGTCTGCAGCTTCTAGACTCTAACGTCTGCAGCTTCTAGAATCTAAAGTTTGCAGATTCTAGACTCTAAAGTCTGCAGCTTCTAGACTCTAAAGTCTGCAGCTTCTAGACTCTAAAGTCTGCAGCTTCTAGAATCTAAAGTTTGCAGCTTCTAGACTCTAAAGTCTGCAGCTTCTAGAATCTCAAGTCTGCAGCTTCTAGACTCTAACGTCTGCGCTTCTAGAATCTAAAGTTTGCAGCTTCTAGAATCTAAAGTCTGCAGCTTCTAGAATCTAAAGTCTGCAGCTTCTAGAATCTCAAGTCTGCAGCTTCTAGACTCTAACGTCTGCAGCTTCTAGAATCTAAAGTTTGCAGCTTCTAGAATCTAAAGTCTGCAGCTTCTAGACTCTAACGTCTGCAGCTTCTAGAATCTAAAGTTTGCAGCTTCTAGAATCTAAAGTCTGCAGCTTCTAGACTCTAACGTCTGCAGCTTCTAGACTCTAAAGTCTGCAGCTTCTAGACTCTAACGTCTGCAGCTTCTAGAATCTAAAGTTTGCAGCTTCTAGAATCTAAAGTCTGCAGCTTCTAGACTCTAACGTCTGCAGCTTCTAGACTCTAACGTCTGCAGCTTCTAGAATCTAAAGTTTGCAGCTTCTAGAATCTAAAGTCTGCAGCTTCTAGACTCTAACGTCTGCAGCTTCTAGACTCTAAAGTCTGCAGCTTCTAGACTCTAAAGTCTGCAGCTTCTAGACTCTAAAGTCTGCAGCTTTTAGAATCTAAAGTCTGCAGCTTCTAGAATCTAAAGTCTGCAGCTTCTAGAATCTAAAGTCTGCAGCTTCTAGAATCTAAAGTCTGCAGCTTCTAGAATCTAAAGTTTGCAGTTTCTAGAATCTAAAGTTTGCAGCTTCTAGACTCTAAAGTTTGCAGCTTCTAGAATCTAAAGTTTGCAGCTTCTAGAATCTAAAGTTTGCAGCTTCTAGACTCTAAAGTTTGCAGCTTCTAGACTCTAAAGTCTGCAGCTTTTAGAATCTAAAGTCTGCAGCTTCTAGAATCTAAAGTTTGCAGCTTCTAGACTCTAAAGTCTGCAGCTTCTAGAATCTCAAGTCTGCAGCTTCTAGACTCTAACGTCTGCAGCTTCTAGAATCTAAAGTTTGCAGCTTCTAGAATCTAAAGTCTGCAGCTTCTAGAATCTAAAGTTGCAGCTTCTAGAATCTAAAGTTTGCAGCTTCTAGACTCTAACGTCTGCAGCTTCTAGAATCTAAAGTTTGCAGCTTCTAGACTCTAAAGTCTGCAGCTTCTAGACTCTAAAGTCTGCAGCTTTTAGAATCTAAAGTCTGCAGCTTCTAGACTCTAAAGTCTGCAGCTTTTAGAATCTAAAGTCTGCAGCTTCTAGAATCTAAAGTCTGCAGCTTCTAGAATCTAAAGTCTGCAGCTTCTAGAATCTAAAGTTTGCAGCTTCTAGAATCTAAAGTTTGCAGCTTCTAGAATCTAAAGTTTGCAGCTTCTAGAATCTAAAGTCTGCAGCTTCTAGAATCTAAAGTCTGCAGCTTCTAGAATCTAAAGTTTGCAGCTTCTAGAATCTAAAGTCTGCAGCTTCTAGAATCTAAAGTTTGCAGCTTCTAGAATCTAAAGTTTGCAGCTTCTAGACTCTAAAGTCTGCAGCTTCTAGACTCTAAAGTCTGCAGCTTCTGTTTTTGCTGCAGTTTTTCCGTCTGCCGCTCCATGTTGGCTCCTCTTGCTGTGGGACGGATCCGACTGGTTTTGCGGCCCGGTTCTGGAGCCCATTTAGAGGAAGCCGGACCGCAGCGCAGACAGAACCGCTGTCTGATTATTTTTAGGTGTTTTTGTCTTTGGATGAGAGGAAAGCAGAAAAACTATTTCGAGAGACGAAGGTCCGGCTGCTGGTCAGAGGGCAGAACCAGACGGGTCAGCCTCTTCCTCATCCTCTTCATCATCCTCGTCCTCATCTTCATCATCATCAGCCTCTGTGTGGAGCTTTCAGGATCCACTTGGTGTTCAGCTCACAGAAAAGTTCATTTATTCAGGATTCAGTTCAAAACTGGAACTTTATCTCTCGTTTCTCTGTAACTGTGAACCATAATCAGATTTCTGGTTTAGTCACACTCTCCTCTCCCCTTTCTCTCCTCTTCCTTTTCCTCTCCTCTTCCTCTCCCCTTTCTCCTCTTCCTCTCCTCTTCCTCTTCCATTTCCTCTTCCTTTCCTCTTTCTCTTCCTTTTCCTCTCCTCTTCCTCTCCTCTTCCTTTTTCTCTCCTCTTCTCTTCCTCTCCTCTTCCTTTTCCTCTCCTCTTCCTCTCCTCTTCCTTTCCTCTTTCTCTTCCTCTCCTCTTTCTCTCCTCTTCCTCTTCCTCTCCCTTTCTCTCCTCTTCCTCTCCCCTTTCTCTCCTCTTCCTCTTCCTCTCCCCTTTCTCTCCTCTTCCTCTCCCCTTTCTCTCCTCTTCCTCTTCCTTTTCCTCTCCTCTTCCTCTCCCCTTTCTCTCCTCTTCCTCTTCCTCTCCCCTTTCTCTCCTCTTCCTCTTCCTTTTCCTCTCCTCTTCCTCTCCCCTTTCTCTCCTCTTCTTTTCCTCTTCCTTTTCCTCTCCTCTTCCTTTTCCTCTCCTCTTCCTTTTCCTCTCCTCTCTTCTTCCTTTTCCTCTCCTCTCCTCTTCCTTTTCCTCTCCTCTTTCTCTCCTCTTCCTCTTCGTCTTCCTCTTTCTCTTCCTCTCCTCTTTCTCTCCTCTTTCTCTTCCTCTCCTCTTTCTCTCCTCTTCCTCTCCTCCTCCTCTTCCTTTTCCTCTCCTCTTTCTCTCCTCTTCCTCTTCGTTTTTCTCTTTCTCTTCCTCTCCTCTTTCTCTCCTCTTCCTCTTCCATTTCCTCTCCTTTTCCTCTCCTCTTCCTCTTCGTTTTCCTCTTCCTCTCCTCTTCCTCTTTCTCTTCCTCTCCTCTTTCTCTCCTCTTCCTTTCCTCTTTCTCTTCCTTTTCCTCTCCTCTTTCTCTCCTCTTCCATTTCCTCTCCTCTTCCTCTTCGTTTTCCTCTTCCTCTTTCTCTCCTCTTCCTCTTCCTCTCCTCTTTCTCTCCTCTTCCTCTCCTCTCTCCTCCTCCCTACAGGAGATGACCATCCCCTGGTGCCTGAAAGAGAGCAGAGTTGGTCTTCAAATGTGTCAAAGGTAACCGTGACCTTTGACCCCTGCCAGCCCCTTGCTGCCTGGTGAAGCAATGACAGGATTATGAAAAATATTTTAAATCATGTTTTAATGTATTTCCATGCAGTGTTGCTTTCATTCTGTCATGTTTTAGAAATTTTTTAATCACAGCTGTTAAAAGGCCTGATGGCCTTAGCCCCGCCTTCAAGAATCACCTCCTCCCCCACTCACCTCCTTCAGACTAGCCTGCAGCAATTAGCAAACAGCTGCTGAGCTCGTTATAGGAGCTGCTGCTCAGCGCAACACTGATAAAAACGGAGCTTCAGAAACAGCAGGAGCCTGTTAATCCTCCATGAATTATGATCCTTTGTATCAGAATTTTCTTTCATTTTCTTTTATGTCTTATGGCATGAAAAACTGTTGTAAATTTTTTTTATTCTATTTGTTTTAGGTGATCAATTGTAATTTTCTCCAAATACATCAGTAGTGTTGTTGTAAAGGGGTTTTCTGGTGTCGCAATATGTTTTTTACCTGCAAGAGTCGGTAGAAGGAGGAACCGGGTCGGTTGCTTTTTTGTCTGTCAGCCAAATTGGATTTAACAAAAATAATTCCTTGCATTTGATGGGCAGTACTTGATGCAGTGCATGATGGGTAATGTTCCAGATGTTTAATCATGTTTGGAGGTAAACGTAATCTTCTGTTCTTGTTTTCTGCTTCCAGGTTTTATGATGGAAATGGCTTCGTGGGACGGAGGGATCTCCCGCACCGTTCAGTTCCTGGTGCCGAAGGTGAGGCCTGCGGCTGTTTGCCGTCACTCAGCCAGGTTCCTCTTCGTGTCGCCACAGCAAGGAGCTTCTGGTATTTTAGGTGACCTTTGACCTTTAGTTCAGTGTTTAACCAGCTGGCCTGTGATTTATCTGCGTCCAGGGCAAAGGTCACAGCTGCTGATAGATGAACTTTAATGTTCTTTCTTCCTAAACTCTCATTCATCTGCACTTTAGATTGAAATGATTTATTTTCATCAGTTTGATGCATCAGTGCCAGAAAAACAACATGAAGTTCTCGTTTTAATTCAGACTTTATCCAACATTTGAATCCCAACAGCTTCAGGTGAAAATGTGGCACAGTTAGTTCATTTATCTCAACATCAAACACAGGATGACATAACTCTTACTCTCACTAGATATTTTAGATTAATTCAGTTTATTTACAGTCGACATTCACACCGCTTCACTTTCTCCACATCTGGCTTCGTTCCAGCCTTTTTCCAGATCTTCTTAACCTGATCTCTGATGCCTCGTTCTGACAATGTGGGACCAAGTTTACTTTGGCAAATGGATTCAAAATGGAAAACTAAGAAAAAACACTTGCATAAGTATTCCCACCCTTTGCCATGAAGAGCTGATCTGTTTCCACTGATCCCAGTGAGACATTTCTCCAGACCAAACAGAGTCCATCTGACTGGACTTAACCTGTCTCTGAGGTCAGAGGTCAAACATGAAGCCGGTGACCTTAATGCCAGGCGTCGTGCATGAACGAGGTGCGAATACTTGGATTAGTCAGGTGTGGCGTGTTTGTCCTGCACCGCCAGTCAGACAGAAATGTTGATCTAATCTGATCAGATTAGCTCCCCAGTTAGCCAGCTGGAGCAGCTAGCCAGCAGCTAGCCTGCAGCTAGCCAGCAGCTAGCCTGCAGCTAGCCTGCAGCTAGCTCACACTTAGCCACACGGCAGCAATGAGTTTTAAGAATGAGTAAATGTTTAAACCAGGTGTGACTAATAATAATGATAATAGATAATAGTCTTTGTGACTGAACCAAAAATGTGATTTGACCTCCTGCAGCTGGTCCTTTTCATCACCAGGCTGCCCAAGTTACTGCATGATAAACATGCTGCAGACTAAATGCATTTGGAAGCATTTGTTCTGAATTTATTTTGGACTGCAACATGTAGAGTAGTTTTATTTACTCTGAAAAATGATTATATATTTCTACGTTGTTTAGAAAATAATTTATTTCTAGTGGCAAACATATGCAGGATAGTCGCTCCATCAAAGTGCAGATGCTACGTCTTTTGGTACTGTCAGTTCCAGACCAAAAGCTAAAAGCAGACTAGTGGCCGATGCTGGACTGCTCTCTGATTGGCTGATACTGAACTGCTCTCTGATTGGCCCCTGCCAAAGAGGCTTCAGCTGATTTAGGACAGGAAGCTGTCAAGGTCCTAAAGGTCAAAGTGTCAAGCTCCTAAAGGTCAAACTGTGGAGGTCGTAAAGGTGTCCTCTGACTGGCCGCCATCTTTCTTTGTGTTGCAGAGCATTTCAGAGGAGATGTTCTACCAGCTGAGCAACATGCTGCCTCAGATCTTCCGTGTCTCTTCCACTCTGACGCTCACCTCAAAGCACTGATGAGGAAAACCATTCCAGATGAGGCCAGGTCACGACCTGATGAGCCCAGGAATGGTTTTCACAGGCGCAGCAGAGCGGAGATCCTGGTCAGACTTTCATCCATCCAGATTTCATTAGATGAAGCAGAAAATCTCGAGACTTTGAAACAGAAATGAATGAAAATGTTTTTCTGCCTGACGGATCGCTGACGGTCCACCCAGACAACATCAGAACCAGAACATCCTCGCTCCTGGCCTGTTCTAGATCTGAAGTCAGACGTTTGGTGAATAAATCCTTCTGGAGGACATCTGGTTGCTCCTGCTGGTCCGTACTGGAGATGTTTTGGTTCTAATCCGCTTTCTTCTCTTCCAGCTTCTGGAAAGACGAGTTCTTTGGATGAGATGATTGTTTTTTCCAGGGAAATTTGATTTGAGCTTCCTGGATTCATCTCATTCTAGCTGCTGATCTAAAAGAAACGCATCCGGTTCTACTGGATAAACACGAGCTGGGACGCTGCCCGGCAAGACGCCTGGGCCACTAAAGCAAATCATTTCATATCTTCCCCTTCCTAAAATGACGAGCCGAGTCATTTTTATCCCAAATTATATTTGCAAAAGATGACATGGCCCGTTATTTTAGGAATATTAGCGATTTAGCTGTTCCTCCCCTCTAACAGTAGGTGGCACTATTCCTGAATATAGAGGAGGAACAAAGTGGAGACCACACACACACACCCAGATACACACACCCACATACACACACACACATACACACACCCCCACACACACATTCACACAATGACCCACTTTCATAATCTGAACAAGCATCGATCCACCTGGGATTATTTTCCTGCTTCTGCCCTCAGCGAGTCCATAAAGATATTTACTGTATTTCTAATTAATGTTTTACTAATAATAATAAAGTTGGAGAGCTCAGCTGTGCATTCTTCATGGATCCAGGGAATCTGGTTTCTGGTTCTGATTGGACCCGTTCAGCTTTTCTGCTGGTGTAATGAAGATTATTTATCAATATTCTGCAGAAGTTATGATCCACATGAGGCCGCTAAATCTCAACTGAGTTCAGGCCTAATTAAAGATGGCAGCCATGTTGTAAACAAGATGGCGTTGTTCTGCAGGTTTGTTTCCAGGCTCTAATGTTTGGTTCAGTGCCAGAGGACCCCGAGCGGCTCCCCGCCCGAAACGCAGAGCCGCCAGGAACTGCAGTGTTTCTCAATATTCAAACATTTTCTCACCTGGCTGAAAAAGATCCACATCCTGTATGACCAGGACAAAATCAATGTGAAGCAACCATTTCCTGTTTCATAAAACCTGGCTCTGGTTCTGCTCCAGCTTTGCTCCTGTTAAACTGAGTTGTTTCCTCCCACTGTCACCACAGGCTTTCTGAGAAGTTGCTGTTCCAAAGTTACAGGAAGATCCAGTTTTTGCGTTGCTGCTTGACAGACAGAACTTTCAGGTTTACTCCCTGGACGTAACCGAACATCTTCCATTTCATCGCCGCCTTTTATTATTTCAGTACATTATTTTTTCCATTTTTTTAGTATTTTAGTTTGTGAGAGTTTAGTTTACTCTCACTTTTTTAAATCACACACTAACTTATTTTCCTCCTAATATTTCTTGCATTTTCTCCACTCCTGTTTTCTCCGTTGCATTTATTTACAGATAATTTTTCTAATGTTCTCTTTTTCTTTCTGAGTCATGGGAGGAGATCCAGAGTCAGCTTTTGTGGCCACAAGTGGGAAGGAAAACCTGCAGTCGGCCAGCGCTGACCGCTAGCAGAGCAGCTGACCCTGAATCTACTCCCAGTTTTTATTTCAGCTCTTAAAAAGATTCAGAGGGAAAAAGAACAAAGAATCTGTAAATGCAAAGGAGAAAACAGGAGAGGAGAAAATGCAACGAGGGAATATTTGGAGGGAAATAAATCAAAGTATAATTTTAAAAAGCGACAGTAATAACTAATTATTAAAAGCAAAATATGAGAAAGAAGAAAAAAGAAAGAAAACATCTGGGAACATCAGCTTTCAAGTCTTTCCAAAGATTCTCAGTTGCTTTCAATCTGGCCTTTGACTAGACCATTATAACTCCTGGATCAGTTCTGATCTAAACATATCTGGGTGATCAGCTGGAAGGTGAACTTTGACCCCATCTCAGCTCCTCTGCTGGTTTCCCTTGAGGATGGTCCTGATGAGCTCCACCCACAGCATGATGCTGCCACCTCTGTGTTGTCAGTAGTATGTTTGGGTGATATGCAGTGCTAGTTTCCTGCTTTGGTAACAAATTTATTTATTTATTTAGTTATGAGAGTAGAAGGAGACACCATATTTAATTTACTTTGGATGTAAAATTGATGAGTTTTAAAGACAAGATTAGATTTAAGTCTTAATTTTGAGCTTCAAAATTTTATTTACAACATACAAAAACCATAATAAAGATCAAAAGTTAGGAGTTTCAAAGTAAGCTTTGAGGATGAAAACTCACTGTGACTTTTACATCATCATTATGAGAAAAGTCATGATTTGAGATTCAAAGTCATGATACTGAGCCAAAATTACGGCTCGTCAAAAAGTTGACTTTAAAAGTGCCCATTTTGGGACGCTATGGTTTGACTGGCGAAGGCAGATTTAACAGGCTGGGAACAAAAAGATCAGCTTTTTGTCACCACTTCCAGTTGGGTCACATTTTTCTGGCTTCCAAAAGAAAAGCTTGTTGACTGCAGTTGTAGGATCACTGAACATTTGCTGCAGTGCGTCTTGTTTACTGTGAAAATTAGGGTTTCTTACACATATGTAGAATCACGGACGCATCTGCTGAACAGTTGTTTTATTAATCAGTGGATAAAGCGCTGTTTAATTTATGTGGCCTTATTTTGAAAAACCGCGCAGGAAGTCGCTTTCAGCATCGGCAGCAGCTTTACGGCAGCCGCCGCTGCTGACTCGTTGACTCGCTGGAAGTTGAGCAACTGCCGTCTGGAGCGAGCGAGTCGCGGCGTGGATTTCCAGGAGCCCCGCAGGATCCACGGAGAAGGTTCTGTTCAGGAAAGTCCATCTCCGCGGTTCCGAATCCCATCCGTGAAGGTACCGGTGTCATTTAAACCCCGGGCTGCTCGTTGTTCGGTACTTTCTACCGTTAGTGTTGAAACTTGTTGAGTGTTTTTCCATCCGCCGCCTTCAAACCGCAGCTCCAGATTCTCCATTAACCCAAATATGGTCGCTGCTCGTCCTGGAACCCGGTTCGGCTCCGACCCAGCAGACTGTGGGACAGCGGCGGAGCCTGCGGCTAAACGGTGTGCGGTTAGCCCGCTTCCAGCCGCGAGGAGCTTTCTGGAAGTGTGGCCGCTCGGCAGCTCCAGATTGCGGGGCTCCTGGCTGCGGGGCTCCGGGTTGCGGGGCTCCTGGCTGCGGGGTTCCGGGTTGCGGGGCTCCTGGCTGGGGCTCCTGGCTGCGGGGCTCCTGGCTGCGGGGCTCCTGGGTGCGGGGCTCCGGGTTGCGGGGCTCCGGGTTGCGGGGCTCCTGGCTGCGGGGCTCCGGGTTGCGGGGCTCCTGGCTGCGGGGCTCCTGGCTGCGGGGCTCCGGGTTGCGGGGCTCCGGGTTGCGGGGCTCCTGGCTGCGGGGCTCCTGGCTGCGGGGCTCCGGGTTGCGGGGCTCCGGGTTGCGGGGCTCCTGGCTGCGGGGCTCCGTTAGAGGATTTCAACAGAAAAAAAGCAAGTGTGAAAGTTTGAAGTGATACCAGTGAGACGCTGAGATGTTCAACCGACGGTCTTGATTGGTAATTTGAACCATATCTGTGAATTATCTTACAATAATCCCTTTATTGGGCCAAAAACACAGTAGATCTAATAGATTGATGAATCAAAGTCACTGATTGTACTGACAGAAGCTGCTCACATAGTTTAAAACATGTCATGCAATTTTTATGTGAAATTAACACAAAAATTACAAATAGATTCTTCATCTCCAGATACTTTAGATCTTTAACAATCTTTAATGAGTGTTTCATTAAGAAAGTTTCTTTTCAATTTAGTTCCAGATAAAACATTATAAACGATTTATTAATGTTAAGATGTGCTTGTCTATCAGACCAGAACCTTTTTAGGATGTGAATGATGAAAACATGAGCTAACACGTTTTGAGATCAATTTTCAAGAATGAATTGATCTTCACGTGAGTTTTTATCAGACTTCAACTTCAATAATAATTCCTGGATATCAGCCTTATTAACTAGAACAGCAAAGATTCTCAGCAGTTTTACTTGCCATACCAACTTATTTATAAAGCACTTTAAAACAACCACAGCTGATACAAAGTGCTGCACATAAAATAGATAAAAAATAAAAACTCTTTCAGTTTAAAACAAACAAACATACAATATGAAACTAGATCTCGCTGGAGTTGAAGGCCAAGTAAATAGAAGGGTTTTAAGACGAGCTTTAAAAGTGGACAGTGAAGGGGCCTCTGACCTGCAGGTCATCCATAACTTAGGACCCCGACAGAGAAAGCTCTGTCCCCTCTGAGCTTCCTTCTAGATCTCGGTTCCTCCAAGAGCAACTGATCTACAGACCTGAGAGATCGATAAGGTATGTAGAGGTGAAGAAGCTCAGTGAGGTAAGCCGGGGCAAGATCATGCAGCGATTTAAAAACAAACATAGGAATTTTAAAACGGATCCTAAAATAAACAGGCAGCCAGTGAAGTGAAGCCAAGACAGGGTCACATGCTCTCTCTTTCCAGTTCCTGTCAAAAGTCGTGCATTCTGAAGCAGTTGCAGACGTGAGAGCAGTGACTGACTGACTCCCAGATATAGAGAGTTACAATAATCCAGTCGAGTCGAAATAAAAGCGTGGATCACTGTTTCAAAATGCTGCCTGGAAAGAAAAGATTTCACTGATGCCAATCGCCTTACATGATAAAAACTGGACTTAACCACAGCTCTAATGTGGCTGTCCAATTTAAAATCACTGTCCACCTTAAAACCAAGATCTGTAATAACTGGTTTAAAATAAACAGGTTTAAAATACACCTCCAAGGGTCAAAGGTCAACAGAGGAGTACTCACAGGAGCCACTGGGTCTGAGCACCATCACCTCTGTATTCTTTATGTTGCCACATTTCCATATGCAACAGCAACTGTCAGAACTGGGTCAGAACAGAACAGTCCAGATCCAGTCCAGGTCCAGTCCAGTTCAATCACGATCCAGTCCAGATCCAGTCCTGATCCAGTCCAGTTCAGTCCCGATCCAGTCCCGATCCAATCCAGATCCAGTCCTGATCCAGTCCAGTTCAATCCCGATCCAGTCCAGATCCAGTCCTGATCCAGTCCAGTTCAATCCCGATCCAGTCCAGATCCAGTCCAGTTCAATCCCGATCCAGTCCAGATCCAGTCCAGTTCAGTCCAGATCCAGTCCAGTTCAATCCCGATCCAGTCCAGATCCAGTCCAGTTCAGTCCCGATCCAGTCCAGTTCAATCCCGATCCAGTCCAGATCCAGTCCTGATCCAGTCCAGTTCAATCCCGATCCAGTCCTGATCCAGTCCTGATCCAGTCCAGTTCAATCCCGATCCAGTCCAGATCCAGTCCAGTTCAGTCCAGATCCAGTCCAGTTCAATCCGATCCAGTCCAGATCCAGTCCAGTTCAGTCCCGATCCAGACTCATCATCTGACTGTACATGTAGTGAAAAGGATGTGGTTTTACCCAGTCCCTTCCTCTCTGATGCTTCCTGTCAGCTTCTGATGTTCTTTGTTATTTCATCAACTTTATTTGTTTATTTATGACCTTCATTTAGAGAAATGTCTAATTTTTCTTTATTTCTTACCATAAACTATTTCTTGTCCCATAAAGGAAGTAAAAAAAATATGCACTCTTGGATGGCATAATAATCAGTTGAAGTATTTTATAGTTTCTGCGTTTACACATTGAAGCAGAATC